CATACGCTACTATAAGAAAAAAAGTGCGTAATGAGAATATCAGTTTTCATAATTTCTGTTCAGAAAATGATTGACATGCAATATGCAAGAAAAAGAATCAAACACCGGCTGTCGGTACAGACGTGAATATCTAGCTCTCGGGTAACTGTTTAGCGGAAACTCGGCAGAGCCTCGTTACCGCTGTAAACAGTTACCCTCGAGCTAGATATTCTGGTCTGTACCGGCAGCCGGTGTAAGATTCTTATAATCTGTAGCCCACGTTCCTACGTTCTTGTCGACTTTATGTTATCACGCATTACTACGTCCTCGTCGACTACCTGTAGTCACGCAATATTACGTCCTTGTTGACTATATGTAAGCACACGTTGCTATGTACCTTTTGACTATCTGTTACCGGGCTTTGCTGCATCATTGTCGACTATCTGTAGCCATGCGACTCTACGTCCTTTCCGAGTATCTGTAACCATTCCTTTTTACGTCATTGCCGAATGTATGTAACCACGAGTTGCTATAACCAGGAGTAGAAGATCAACGTGAATTAAAAACTTCTACATATTTTAACAAAATACCTAATTGAAACGTGATGGCAAATGGGATTTAGAAAGTCTTATTTACCAGAAAACTTCTATTGAAACTTGTGATGTTGGTTTTAATCATGTTGAGATGATATCAACTGATCAATGTTACCGCCTTCTGCTGTATCAAATGATGTTTTGTACATTTTATCAAGGCTATTCAATTATAAGGGCCTTCATACAGTGCAATCAGTTCAATAGTAAATCGTGCAAACTAATTTATGAAAAATAATTTAGTTATGTATATAAGAAAATAAGTAAATTTATGCGAGATACAACGACTTTATGGGGAGATAAATTCTACCAATGTCTGCGCTGTTAGATATTTTACATGTCAAATATTTCAGCACAATTCCCGTTAGGATTTAAGTTTTAATAATGTAATTTCTAGTCTACGGCAAATTACAAATTTATTTGATGGTTATCGAAACATAGTATGTCTTTCTGGCCTGTCATTCTGGGCCCAGCTGTACTTTTATATTACCTTATACTGAATGAACACTTTAGGTTGTTTGTAAGAATTACTCGCCCGTCACCATTGTGGCTTCATGTCACAAACGGGATATGAAAGAAAACTTCGAAATCATATATATACAATTGTTTTGGTTTTGTTTATTTATTTTTTTTTAGGGGGGGGGGGGGACTTACCTCTATAAAATGTAAAAAAATGGTAGAAAAATACAATAAAGCGTTTCGAACAAGTAGGGACTTATTTTCTATTGTTATAAATGTCACACAGATTCATGACGATGCCATATCAGAGAATATGAGAATATGACAATCTTTTTGCTATTGTTTTAGTTTAAGAAATATATTCGGATTAGTTCATTATTTGGAATTGAAGAATTACCATTGACAAAAAAACTTGTCCTTGATTTGTTTTATTCTTTGAAATTCAAATATTGCGGTTGATAAAAATGTTTTTCCATGTTTGTTTCATTCATCATACAAAGATATGTTTATAAGCTCCTGTTTTAAATAAAAGACGTTATTTATGAACATATGCGTGTACGTTTTCTGATGAAAAGATATTCAAAAAATGTCATTGATTTTATCTATAGGCTCAGGAATGCTTTCATCCTTATATATCAGATATACACTTAACAAATCTTATAAGTGTATATGTATAAATGGTCTCATATGTACGATCAGGCTCAAATTTTCATTCTAACACTATCGGAATTTTTTCTATATAAACAAAGAAGGCCCTAAGCGTGCATTATTCTACAACAATGCACTCGCCGTTCTTATTATCTCCCTGTGTATTTTCACATTGACGGCGCCATTTTGTTTGAAAAATCTGATAAATAAAACAATTTTTTGTCGAATTTTGTTGTGAAAACTATCTAGAATGAAAGAAAATGGTCTAACTAAGAAAATGAATCCGAACACCAATATCTTTAATTCAGTCGTTAACGCTGTACAGACGTTTAAAGTGTTGTTTACGTGACGTCACAATGTAGCGCCAAACAGCACGTGCAAAACAATCAAATCAAGTACGCTATTTTAATGTCGCAAACGAGTTAAGTTTTACATTTATTTCACTTTTAATAATTTGTATTTCGCTTGAAAAATTATAGAGTGAAATAAAATAAACAAACAAAGTTTTATCAACGTTTTCAAAATTCGTTATTCTCAAAATGTTTCTACACACGGTAGATTTAACGACAGTTTTTTTCAACCCACTGGAACAGCCTTTAAAGAACGTTTCTATTGGAAACTCTGAGGCGAAAACAAATTTAACCACCAAACATAAAGTCCAACTTTATAATAATAATTATATTTTTTCTTGACGTGTTAGAATGGAAATAGATATTAATTCTTCGTGCATTATTGTATAATAATGCACGTTTTTCGTTCAAATGCTTTGTAATTAATCACTCAGGCCTATCGGCCTTCGTGATTATATTACTACGCATTTGAACTCAAACCGTGCATTATTCTACAACAATGCACTCAGAATTGATATCTATTTCCTAAATAAATACAGTTTAGATACATGATATGATATTCCATTTACCGGTATAACATTTCATAACAAACACAAATTTAATGAACATGCCCAATAAATGTGATAGTGCGTTATAAGCCAATGTCACAAAATTAATGTATTATTGAAAAAGTATTCTAATGTCGTTTGCCCACCCTGACTGTTAATTGCAATCTGGCAACGTTGTCGCATGGATTTGACCCAATCTTTTGCATGATATTGGGGAAAATTTGTTCACCATTGGACAATATTCGCATATTCGTAGGCGTTGGTTTGTGAAACTGTACGGGGCGGTTCATTTCATCCCGTTAGCTTCTATCACATTTAAGTCTAGAGATTTTGGTGATATTCGTTAACTTGATGTTGTTTATTAATGTTCAGAAAGATTGTCGGCGCCCTTGACGTGTGCTTGTAAGACATAATGTGGAAACTGCAATTAAATGTTGTTCTTTAGACATTGATAAAACCGAAGTTTGAAGCTCGTTGTATTAATAATTATCGGCGCTGAGATTACCATTAAATGACACACAGTTTTCCTGAACATCCTTGTGGAGTGTAACATACCATCGCCCGGTAACGAGCCCATATTTTCTTAAACTAAAATCTACCTTAAGATAAAATGTACAACGATAAATCAAACTGAAATGTTGATATTAAATTCAAGATGCGCATAAGAAAAGAGATCACAAATATTATTAACATTTTGCGTAACATCACATTTAATGGACATGTTCATTAAATTTGTGGTTGTTATAAAATTGAATAAATGGAATATCATACCCTATCTCTTGAAACTTCCAGCATGATAGTGTCAACATTGACTCAAATTATAAGATATTTATTCATGCACACTTATATGATTTGTTAAGTGTATGTCAGTGATCTTTAGATAGGTTATTTTATTTCACACCTTATTAAATACAACCAATGTAACTATCAGCGTTTGATCCCATTTATGTTCCCATAGAAATCATTATCGGATCCAATCTTAAAAATTCACCCTCATTTATATTTCTAGTGTCTACAAATACATAACAAATACATATCGTACCCAAATAAGCATCTTTTCATTTACAGTGTCCAATATATATAATATCAAAGGCATCTACAGAGCCCCAATTTCCTTTTCAGAGTCAAAAATATCTATATCAAATGCATATCGTACTCCATTTAGCCGCATTTCCATTTTGAGGGTAAAATTTTCAGAAAGATCCGTCAAACTGTCAAAATATGTAAATTGTAGAAGTCACTATGCATGGTTGAGAACAATACTGATTCTTTTGGACACGACCTTGAATTGTCAATAAATGTACAAAGCTCAAAATTAGACTCAGCTAAGACCTTTTCCACTTTAGGTTTGACAGCTGTGCTCTCGTCTAATAGAATTTAGTATTGTATTTAACAATGTATAATAACCTATTGGTGTTGACTCAAATACGTTTTATACGAGATAACTATACGTTGTTGAGTACAATACTGAATTATAATGGATGAGTACACAAGTGCTATATTGGACGTGACGCTAGCTACTGTTGTATGCCAGTGACATTATGATGTTACTATATATTTATTTTAAACCGAAGCAAACACGATGAACAATATCAAACACTCAAAATCATCAGTGGCGTTTGTATTGCATTAAAAGTAACTTACAAATACAGCCGATATTAATATCACTACACTGATAAATCGATGATGGTGTAAATGAAGAGGCGACTAGATGAAGTAAAATACGAAATTTTCGGATTGATAAAAATGAGCATAGATGCAGTGAAATATATATTAAAGATTGATTATTTTGGCACGGGAAATGAATACGAGGCTTAATTGATAGGAAAAGATAATGTATTTATTTATTAATTTATTTATTTACTTAGTACAAAAGAAAGTATAGATATGTTTTGTGCCTAACAGGACACAGTTCATTAATGATAAGTGTAAAACATTCATCTACATAATTATATACAAAAATTATATACATGATTTGCAATCTCCTTAAGGTTGTCATCTGGATCTCCCATAAACACGGATTATAACTTTATTGTATTATTGTAATTTTAATTATAAGGCTGTTTTACTGCTCATATTATAGATTATCAAGGCCATAAAAATTATGGGGTAAATTTTCAAGATTTATTGTTCAGTTGTCTCCCATATACCGTATAACATATCTTTAATGCTTTTGTTTATCCAAGCGACACGTTATCATAAAATTACAATGCCATTAGAAGCACAAAGTAAAGGAGTGTTAAATTTCACAAAAGCCTGTTTAGCACAGTTAAAAATATCATTCTTTGTAACATCAAGTCTAAATTTTTAAACAAGTCACAGCTTTGAGATTGAAAACAATTGGTTTATTGTAGATAAAAAAATCGTTAACAAAACAATTAAAATGAATTGTTGAACACAAATAATTTCCGTCTTCCTTCTTACTGCTATCCTTTAAGTTTAGTTGCATATTCACTGCGTCGTTGTATAGCATCTAAAATGGTTCAAAAGTGTTTCTACTTTGCCGTTTTTGGCACGGTAGCATTCTTTTTATCAACACAAGTTGGTGGTGATAATGAGCTGGATTCCTGCAAAATATCATCGATGGAACATCTTCTGGATAAAATGATACGCACGGAAACCAAAGTTGAATCAATGTTGAATGAAATTCGAAACATCGAGGAACATGTTCTGTCTATTCTAGAGTATCGTAAACAACACAATCAGAACGTATTGGCACAGATGAAAGAAAGCCATGAGGCTGCTATAGAGAATGTGAAGGCAGAAATAGAAAGTATTAAACCTCAGAAAGGTACGTTTATAATTTCTACAAAATATTGGTTAATTTCGTGAACGACAATTTTCAATGTGTCGGTTATATTCAGGTAACGTCCTAACTATCTTTCTACAAGAACCAAAGAAATAACAACTCTTTTGCGTTTGCGAGAGAAATGCTTATTTATTGTGCACGACTAAATATGTTACATAATTATATTTCACATTTATGTAAACCAAAACTTAGACAATGGAGGAATACACATCCTACTAAACAGTATATATCTAATACACAGATATGAAAATAATAATCTGTATTATTATGTCTTTCAATATATAAAATTTTGATTGACAGATAACATTATCTTGACCCTATGCAAAATTATGAGGTCACGTTAACAAGCATGTTCCGAACAAATTTATGAAAAATGTACTTTTCACAAAATTGATCGCAAATCCGTCTTAGGAATGACAGCCGCCCACGAACAACCTAACCTACTTTGTAGGTGGAAACGTGTGTCCGTGGCATGCACGTTAAAGTTTATTAAAACGTAAAACTTTGAATTCATTCCTCATGATAAAGGAATCAAGGAACATTTCCGAATATGCTAAAAAGAAAATCAATATGACCAAAGGCACTACAAGCCTGATATCATTCTTGAATTTGAATTTGAAATTGCCACGTAAAAAATCTCGCTAGAACTGATTTCAACAATCAATGCCCGCCAAACATAAACTCTTACTCACGAACCGTGACAAACCGGTTTTGTTATACAATGTCCGTAAAGACTAATAATATCTGTCATATTTTGCGGTTCGGATCGGAATATCCGTCCCGAGGTGACCCGCCCATTGGGCGGTAACGAGGCTTGCCGAGTTACCGCCCATGGGCGGGTGACCGAGGGACGGATATTCCGATCCGAACCGCAAACATATGTCAGATATTTTTTCTTGCATATTCTACCATATTCCATTATATTTTAAATTCTTTATCTTTATTTTCAATGAAAATTTATATCATTACAACCGTAACTACTTTCATTTAACAGCGTATGAATTACAAAATCATTCATAACGGTAAAATGACGTCATCTTTATCGTGCCATTGTACAGCACGCGACTCATTTGGAACCCCCCATGCCAGATGAAATTTCCGGCATGGGTAAAACTAACGGAAACGCCAGTCTGATATGCAAGAAAATAGTACTCAACTATACGATGAAACGTTGAGTACTTAAAAATCGTTACGTTCCTTTTGTTCGCCTGTTTCGTAAAATGTTGCCGGCTCGCCACGGCGAGCCGGTATTACGTTAGGATTTTACTGAGAAACAACCTAAAACTCCGAATCCATCCAAAAATTTAATCGAAGCTTAGCTCCCAGCTTTCTACAAAATTTATCTATCAGGGCTAGGATCCAAAATTATTTAATCAAATTTGATCTTATATAGCGTCAAGAAACCTTCAATTTTCACGCCATTTTTAAAAAACAGCAAGTATTGTTTTTAGCGAAAAGATATAATGATGATTAAAATGTTTGTTTTCATGGATTCTTTTCAGTAAATCATATTTACACTGACTTTTGATTTAGCGATTTCACCAGTCCTGTTTACTCTGTAGTAAGTTTTCGTTTGGTTAATTAACATAAACGACACTTGGTTCTGTGCATTGTTTTTTTTTTTTCATTTTCCTTTTTTCCGGTCATTTCATCCTTTCCGGTATTTAGTGTATGTATTTACTGGCCGGGATCCGGGACGCCCGGGATCCGGGATCGTATAAGATAATAGAGGAAAAAACTAATAAACTATATTTGTGTTGATTAATTGTCGTAATGAAAGGCCATTAAACGTTAAGTTTTTTATTGTATGTAATGAAAGTTTAATTGATTTAACTTAGGATATAGATATATTTAGAGCTATTTATTAACAAAATCGCAATACTTATAATTATATGCCTAATTAATTGGAAAAATCAAAGACTATATTCTTGAATTGGTCAAATCCCGGGATCCCTATATGTTTTAATACGATCCCAGCTTTTCTGAAAACAATATTCTTGAACTGTCCAATTCCTGGGATCTCTTTATTTTTTAATATGATCCCGGCTTTTCTGAAAACTATATTCTTGGACTGGTCAATAATAGGATCCCGGCTTTTCTGGCTGAATTGATTGACAACTTGTGTTTACTTAAGGACTTGTATCTGTCACTTATTCCAATACTAAATAACATATTACAACTTAACTTCGTATAAAGAGACATTTTTATGAATCTATTTTTTTTTCTGGTCAAGGTCAACAGGCCATATATATATATATATATATATATATATATATATATATATATATATATATATATATATATATATATATATATATATATATATATATATATATATATTCCTCTTTGTTAAACTGAGAGAACTGGCTTCCTTAACTTTATATGTCACTTTTATTTTGATGTTCGCTGAAGTCTTTTCAGCTAACAGCTAGAACTGTCTTTTTTACATTTAAACACGTCCCTGGAAAGAAATTACGAAGCGAGTCGCTACTAGCTTTTTTAAAAGCTAACCTTGTTACGAGATTATGTTATTAATCTAATTCACGGAGGGGCATCTGATGTCTTCCTCCACCAGTAAAAGCTGGGAAATCGCCGTATGACCATTACAGTTTTGGTGTAACGTAAACCAAACAAAAAATACAGTTACTCTTGCATATATATGAACGCTGTTTAATCAGAAAACAAATGTAAAAATAAGCTAAAAATAATAAGCTAAAAAAAAATAAACAAACTTTTGATGTCTGTTAACAATTTAATCTATATTTTGTAATTTCGAGTATGCCTGGATTTAACTGATTGTCTCGCATGTATTCTCCTCTGAAACCATGTCTTGGCGAGACTGTTTTATTCAGTTATTAAATTTTGGGGATACTTATTTGTAATAAATGAAGACAATGTTTTGCAATTCGTTAGACAGACTTTTATAAACATAATCAGGCTTGCTGTTTTACAAACTCCGCGCACCGGTTACGCTACGACCAGTAACCACAGCCTTCACACAAATCACGTGAAAATGGCCACAGAAATCGTTGAACAAGCCTGTCGGTAAAATTCAAAAAATGAAAAACATTTTTGTCAAGTGTAGAATCGAAATTATCAATTACTTAAATAATTTCTGTTCCAAAAGCGGCCATTGTGCGATATTAAAAATGTTCATAATATTTATGTTTTCGAAATCATCTTTTATTTAAGTTCACATTTAACAACTTGTGGTCTTGAAACATAAGCAAAACCTTGTCTTTTTAAAATAATTATTTAAATTGAACAAATTCATATCGTCAAGATTTTCGACGAAAATGTTGTGATGACAGAGATGTAATTCTGTGAGGGGAGATCACTGCGTGGGCGATTGGCTGTTTTATTGATATCGAATTAATACATTGATTAATTTAAATGGAGGAAGTATAACTACGTACACGATGCTATGTTATGAATGTATTGTAGTTACAGGTCTTGGATCTTCATACGTTCGCTGGGGTCGGACAACCTGTCCAACTGACAATGAATTAAATTACAAAGGTAGGATTTGTTTATTTGTTTAAGCTGAACAAAATTAGATATTATCATACCAATAATTCAATGACCAAAAGCGTATACAAAAGTCTTCTGTTTAAGGTATCATTACACGACTTTTTCATCAGTAATTTAAATTGAAACTACAGTTAAAAACTTTTCTAGCTAGTTTACAATATCATTCAACCGGGACATTTTAGTACCGTGACATAATTAATCAAGTAAAATTATAAAAATCGAATGTAGTTTTTACATATATACCAATCTAAACAATGTTTATTAATTTTGTGAAGTTACAAATAGTGTGACGTGCAGTAACATGTGTTACTAGGAACCGGATAAAATGTGCGTTATTTCACTACCCATCTTAACGTCTCAAAATTTTGAAAAAAATATTTAAATATATTTATGTGACTTAAATTTTTTTGTTTGGTATCACTGTCCAGGTAAATTGAAATATCACGTGTTCTGATTTTGTTCAGAATTATAATTATCCTCAAATTTGTTATAAAATTTCTAAGTTTTTATATGAACTATTTCAACAACAATTAAGTTGACCTCTTTATTTGCTAATATTTGCTTTATTTCCACTTTATTTTACAATTATCTCAATCACAGGTCCGTGATTGTAAAGGGAATTCTTAAACAGTAATCTTTTTCATGCCTTTTTATGGCAATCGTGGCCGCATCTATTGTGTTTTTGTTTAAAGCAATATCATATAATTTTTCTACTTTTTAGCTTAAACTAACTCGGAAGTGTGTACAAACTTCTACTACATTTCTATGTAAGGCGATGCCCGTTTTTTCCTATGCAAATTTCGCATGCGCGAAAACTACCAGTTCCGGTTGATTTTTCATAGCAATGGACGGCGTCGTAAAAAGGTCCATACTTGTACAATTAAAATAAACATAGACTTCCCACAAAAGCTATAATTGATATGCTGAATGTCTGTATATTGTTATTCAAACTAAACTTTGAAAAAATCTGTCTATAAATTTTAATTACAGAATGAGATACAAAAGAATAAAACACAATTATATTGTTTTATGTAATTTATGTAAAATTATGTCGATGGTTTATGTTAATCGTGCACCTATGGATCTCTTCAGTACATTTGAAGCTCGAATAAAATAATATAAGCAATCATTTCGTTTTAAGCCAAATATCAATATATTTTCAAAAGGGTGTGTTTGAATGTATTTAAGCATCGTTCGGTGGTATCACTGCACTTTGAGTCCTTTTAGTCACATATTTTTTATACACATTGCATAATTTGGATAAACCAGAACTCGCGATTGAAATAAATAGTTCGACTTTCAATCTTTATTTCTATCTTAGGTTTACATCAAGTAAACAAAATAAGTATTATTTTTTTATAATTACAGTGAATAATGGAAGACTGCATAAATATTCAAAACAAAAATGGGTATATAGACAGGAAAGTCAAAAGGGAAGAATTTAAATTCCGATTTTTCGAGGAAAAAAAGCTTTGAATTTTACATAACTTTTTAAAACTTACCCTGTGATTATGTGTTATATTGCACATTCTGATCTGCGGAAATCCACATATACTTTTTACAGATGTTCAATTTTGAGATCAATATGCGGTTCCACCCCGTGCATCATAATTTCACTATCGTACCAACGTTACTTCAAAACTTACTCTTCGTTTAATCGTGTTTTTACCATCTTACCATCGCGGGTTCACCATAGATCCATTAAAATTCCATTTTAAGCTCTGATTTTTTAGACTTATAATACTGTTTTAAATATATCCCAGGTTATGCTGCCGGCTCGAATTGGGTAGCTGTTGGAGGAGCAGGAAATTTTCTGTGCTTAACAGAAGAACCACAATGGGGAAGCTATGATGAAAGCCGAACATCTGGAGCTAAGGTTTCTAAATTAATGACTTCAAAATGCGAGTGTTAAACTATGCTAAAGTTTCTTTGTCCCATAAAATCTTCGTCCCTTTTTTCTTGAGGAAATGGAAAATATGACTAACAAAAATATATATTCTACTCGCAAAAAGTTGTTTCGTTGTCGAAAGTAAACATTTACGAGTAGTATACTACCAGTTAGTATTACGGCCAGTGTCTAATGTAGGATAAACAATATATATGAAATACGATGAATAAATGCAAAAACATGTACATTTGTTTGTATTTGGTAATGAATGATTATTATTTAAGATAACACTGTTACAAAATACATAACATTTTTGTGGATTATAAATAATAACTTATGGAAATTAGTATGCACATGCAATCATCAATCAATGTAAACAAAAATACAAAACAAACAAAAAAAAAAACAAAAACAAAAAGAGAACTATATAAATTTCTGTTAAAAAATCAGTTTTAAGTTTTTATTATATAACAAAGAAATTCTCTTTGCAATTTAACAAGACACAATCAACTGCCAGCCTATCGAAATTGACATTTACCTCCATTCTAGACAAATCCACATTAATAATTATTATGAAACGTGACGTAGCAAAATTAAAACCATTCGTGAAAGGCTTAGTGGGATTCAGGGTACCAACTGACAATCGGAACTTCCTGGGCTATTATTCATAATAAGTGTCGTAAACATTATGGACTCTGAAAGCTTTCCATACTGATTTAAGTTTTACTTCTAGATTCTAGATTTTAAAACGAATACAAATAGCGAAAACACGAAAAAAATGTTCTGATTGTTTTGATGTTCTTTCCCTTTTATATCATAGGCAAAAATAAGAACACTGTTGTCACAACAAAAGGTAACCAATGAACGAGCATCTGAACATGATATTTCTATCGCTATCTCTTTCTCGTCCGTTACAATAAGTAAACACAAGCAAAAATAAGCCAATCAATTGGTATGCTCTGGGGTGCGGATAGCAAATATGTATACTCTGACACAGGCCGTCCCCCTGATACCCCTGTGTTTCGATGCCTTTTCTATTACATGTAGCACAACAAATAAATCCTGTATATATCGTATATATCGAATGACACGTTCATTTAGTTTGTAATAAACATAACGGACTGCAAAATCAATTGAAAATACAATTGATGCTGGTAATTTTAATTTATAAATACTTTATGAGTCTGTCATATTTCAAAACTGACAAAAACCCGTCAAACTCCTGTTAAAGTTTAACTAGAATCGACACCAAATCATACCAGCTATGTACTTAAACAAATGAATGTCTAGTTAACAAATTATTTTCAGGTTTACGGGGCTGAATATGAGTTTAGTGATTATCATGCGGATGGCGGTAGTAAGTTTTTTAAAAAGAATCTGAATGACCAAGATGCTCCGTGTTCCGTGTGCCGGACTCCACGCTCCGCTGTTACAATGATCCCTGGCAGACACGACTGCTTCCCTGGCTGGACTAAGGAATACAGGTTTGTTTCTATCATAATAAAGTGGCTCATATTTTTGTCTAGATACTAAACCGTTGGTATTTTACTTTGTTTAAAGTGACTTATCGTAAATGATTTCTTTTTATATTTAATAAAGCGGGTACCTCGTAGCTGGGTCAGAAGTTCACAAGTCTCCCACAGAGTATATATGCCTTGACAGTGACGCTGAAATGCTTAGCAACGGGGGAAGAAGTAACGACGGCAGAGTTATTTACATTGCGGAGGCTGTTTGTGGTACTCTGAGATGTCCACCGTACATACAAGGTCGAGAGCTGACATGTGTGGTTTGTAGCAAATAAACGGCACAAAATGCCATAAGACGTACTGATATGAAAATTTGAATAACGCATGTTATTCGGGTTTTTCTAAATGAAGGACTTAATTATTAAAATACCGTAAATTTTACTGAATGTGTAAATTAAAAGAGATGTATTAAATAGAAGGCACTTAGTTATATTTATTCTTTGTTCATACTTTCATTTACAGATGGCAGCAACAGAAATCTAAATTTAACCACAGACACTTGCTACGTCATTGCTGACTATCTGTAACCGAGCCTTTCAAGTATAGTCTTGCCAACTATATGTCACATAATATATTATGTCACTATCTGTAGTCACACGCTGCTAAGCCTTGTCGACTCTCTGTAGCAACACGTTGCTAGGTCCTTGTCTACTTTCTGTAGCAACACGTTGCTACGTCCTTGTCGACTGTCTGTAGCAACACGTTGCTACGTCCTTGTCGACTATCTGTAGCAACACGCTGCAACACGCTGCTACGTCCTTGTCTACTTTCTGTAGCAACACGTTGCTACGTCCTTGTCGACTGTCTGTAGCAACACGCTGCTACGTCCTTGTCGACTATCTGTAGCAACACGTTGCTACGTCCTTGTCGACTGTCTGTAGCAACACGCTGCTACGTCCTTGTCGACTGTCTGTAGCAACACGTTGCTACGTCCTTGTCGACTATCTGTAGCAACACGTTGCTACGTCCTTGTCGACTGTCTATAGCAACACGCTGCTACGTCCTTGTCGACTGTCTGTAGCAACACGCTGCTACGTCCTTGTCGACTATCTGTAGCAACACGTTGCTACGTCCTTGTCGACTGTCTGTAGCAACACGCTGCTACGTCCTTGTCGACTGTCTGTAGCAACACACTGCTACGTCCTTGTCGACTGTCTGTAGCAACACGTTGCTACGTCCTTGTCGACTATCTGTAGCAACACGTTGCTACGTCCTTGTCGACTATCTGTAGCAACACGCTGCTACGTCCTTGTCTACTTTCTGTAGCAACACGTTGCTACGTCCTTGTCGACTGTCTGTAGCAACACGTTGCTACGTCCTTGTCGACTATCTGTAGCAACACGTTGCTACGTCCTTGTCGACTATCTGTAGCAACACGATGCTACGTCCTTTTCTACTTTCTGTAGCAACACGTTGCTACGTCCTTGTCTACTTTCTCTAGACACTCGTTGGTACGTCCTTGCCGACTATCTGTAGCCACGCATTACTACGTTCAAATTGACTATATGTAAGCACGTTTTGCTACGTCATTGCCGACTATCTGTAGCCACGCGTTGCTACGTCCTTGTTGACTATCTGTAACCACGCTTTGCTACGTCATTGCCGATTATGTGTAGCCACGCGTTGCTACGTTGTTGTCGACCATATTTAGCCACACGTTGCTACGTCATTGTTGACTATCTGTGGCCACACGTTATTACGTCATTATTGGCTATATGTAGCCAAACTTTTACGACTATCTGTAGCCACACGTTGCTACGTCCTTTCCGACTATCTGTAGCCACACGTTGCTACGTCCTTGTCGACTATCTGTAGCCACACGTTGCTACGTCCTTACCGACTATCTGTAACCATTCCTTTTTACGTCATTGCCGATTATTTATAACCACGCGTTGCTACGTTCTTGTCGACTATCTGTAACCATTCCTTTTTACGTCATTGCCGATTATTTATAACCACGCGTTGCTACGTTCTTGTCGACTTTCTGTAACCAACCCTTTTTACGTCATTGCCGATCATTTATAACCACGCGTTGCTTCGTTCTTGTCGACTATCTGTAACCATTCCTTTACGACTTTGCCGATTATTTATAATCACGCGTTGCTACGTTCTTGTCGACTATCTGTAACCAGGAGTAGAAGATCAACGTGAATTAAAAAATTCAACTAATTAAAACCATCAAATCTCAATAAAATACTTAATTGAAACTTGATTGTAAATGGAATTTAAAAAGTCCTACTTACCAGAAAACTTTTATTAGATCTTGATGTGATGGTTAATTGGATTATTTTAATTCATCTGGAAATTAGTTCAAATATGTTTTAGTGTTTGAAATTGTTTGCAGTATTTTAAATGAATCGTAACTCATTTACTTTGGTAAAACGTCTTTAAAAGCCAATAACTGTTTTTCTTGTTTTCCTTTTTCTTCTTAATTTTATGTCTTCTTCTTTGATTTATGTTTAATGAGGGTCATGATCTACCCCCCCCCCCCCCCCCCCTACCCTTCCTGTTAAGGCACAAAAAGTAGCTGTCGTTATCGACCTGACCATGCAACCTGTCACGCCTCTCAATGTCTTGTTGTACAGTTAGTTCGTAGACCTCAAACCACTTGCCTGTCAACGCTGTAGGTTCGAGCTGCTAGAACGTAAACATGGCCATTTGTACACAAACATTTCCTGATTTTTGCAATGGATTCCAAACTTTTTACCATACTTTCACAGAAACGTTCATCAATGCCCATACTGTAGGTTCTTGAAGTCAGATAATTTTCGGTGCGCCAATGACTTTTCTTCCTAAGCTAATACTACTAGTATTAAGAGGAAAACTCTTATTAACACCTATCTAAAAACATTTCTGTACGGACTTAAATCCAAATTTCACAGAACAAGTGCCACCAAGTGCAATTTTTTTATAATTTAAAATTCTGGAACGAGACATGTTTGATATGTATAAAAACAAGAGCTGTCGGTAGGACAGCACGCTCGACTATTCTAAGTGCTTGATAGTAAAAGAGCCTGGATAATGATAAATTTTTTAAGTTGACAAAAGGTCTAATTTTTTGTTATAAATTCATGTTATAGGCCTTAGAGAGAGTTTAATTATACAGTATTGGCTTGACTATTCAGAAGGTAATGTCACAAGGGTGTTTTATTGAGTAAGATAATACTAATTACCTATGAATACATAAATATGACAGAAAAGGTACAAAGGCTTGTTATTAAGATGTTTTATCAAGTAAATCACTGCTTTATTATTATAAAATTGTCCCAAAAAAGGCACAAACCCTTCAGTACTTATTGAGATAACAGCTTACAAGCAAAACTTAACCATGAATTTCTAAGTTGAAAAAGGGGAGAAAAATCAGCCTAAATGCAAGATAGAATTATGGATCTTTGTCAGTGACCTACAATTATGACCCTAAATGCATATGTGAAGTTTTAAATAAATATCTTTAATAGTTATTGAGATATGTAAAACTTGCATGTAAACATTAACCAAGAGACTAAGTAGAAAAGGGGATATGAATTAGCCTTAATGCAAGATAGAGTTATGGAACTTGGTCAGTGACATACAAGTATGACCCTCCAATTATGACCCTAAGTGCATGTGTAAAGTTTCAAGTAAATATCTTTGAAGACCTTTAACCTTTAACCAAAATTTCTAAGTTTCAAAGGGGCAAATAATTCTGCAAATATTGCAGGCAGAGTTATGCAATTTTGCAAACTGATGTTCATTGTTACTATAAAAAAAGTATTTTAAATTTCAATTGAATATCTCAAGCAATAATTGAGATATTTGACTTTACAAAAAAACTTTAACCAAAATTTCTAAGTTCCAAAGGGGCATAATTCTGTCAATATTGTAGGCAGAGTTATCCAACTTGTCAATCTGATGTACCTTGTTACTATAAATAAGTATTGTAAGTTTCAATTGAATATCTCCAGCAATAATTGAGATATTTGACTTTACAAAAAAACTTTAACCAAAATTTCTAAGTTAAAAAGGGGCATAATTCTGCAAATATTGTAGGCAGAGTTATCCAACTTGTCAATCTGATGTACCTTGTTACTATAAATAAGTATTGTAAGTTTCAATTGAATATCTCCAGCAATAATTGAGATATTTGACTTTACAAAAAAACTTTAACCAAAATTTCTAAGTTAAAAAGGGGCATAATTCTGTCAATATTGTAGGCAGAGTTATCCAACTTGTCAATCTGATGTACCTTGTTACTATAAATAAGTATTGTAAGTTTCAATTGAATATCTCAAGCAATAATTGAGATGTTTGACTTTACAAAAAACTTTAACCAAAATTTCTAAGTTAAAAAGGGGCATAATTCTGTCAATATTGTAGGCAGAGTTATCCAACTTGTCAATCTGATGTACCTTGTTACTATAAATAAGTATTGTAAGTTTCAATTGAATATCTCGAGTAATAATTGAGATATTTGACTTTACAAAAAACTTTAACCAACGCAGACGCCGACGCGGACGCCGACGCCGACGCCGGGGCGACTACAATAGCTCTCATATTCTTCGAATAGTCGAGCTAAAAACTAGTCAATGTGCAGCTATTCCTACATTTGTTATAGGAGGAAAACCGACAACTCAAAAGTCTGAGACGTGCTATCGTGATTACTACCGTAGTCTTACTCTTCTGTACATTATTTCAGACACAAACATACTACCCAAGTTGAACCACAGACATCCTGTAAGCTATTTGGAAAGCTTGCCGAAAACGCTGGGGCGGCTCATGGTATGACCTGTGGCAGGTGGTTAAAAAAATGCCACACTTTGCTTTACGTCTGTTATTCATACCATTTCATGATTTTGCCTTTTTCCCTTTCTAAGAAGGCACATATTCCTATAACCGTACTTTAAATAAAATCTATATCTCGGATACACGTTTCAAAAAAGAACACAAGAAGTAAGAATCAACAAGGTATAACAATTTTATCAATTTTACTTTTTCATTATAATGCATTATCAACATTAGATAAGACTCAACAAAGTAATTTGTCTATCCTACTTTTAAAATTACAAAATATCTTCAAAAACAATAAATATATATAACAACAGATATAATTAAATATCCCATGATCCCTCATCTGGTTAACACATAATTAAAACACACATAACAGATTCCCAGTCATTCGATAATAATGTTATTACATCATACAATAATAATGCGCATGCGTGAAATATTAATTCCATTGCCATAACCATACTGTAGAATAAAGATCTATATCTCGAATGCACATTTTATGAATTATTGTATACTTATACCATGTAGATTGAAGATAGTATTACAGTTCAGAGAAAACGTTCAAAGTTGAAGCAGAGAATAAATCTTTAAAGCAGTATGCCTCCAGATTTATGCTAATTTTCATGATTTTTTTAAATGTCTTGAAGAGAACAATAATATCAAGTGAACATGAAAAATAATTTACGCATTGCAAGCGGCACTTAAAATCTACGAAAATTTCCAAAAACAGCACAGAGTATGCAAAAATAGCCCTTTATGTCTTAGTCACACTGTAGAAATATGGTGAAAAAAATACTGCAAAATTAGTCATTAATTGCATATAACATGTATTTTTTTTCTTGAATTTTTAACATTTTTAATATTTTTTTTTAAATCAAAGTACAATTTTCTAAAGGTTGTTATTTTTTCGCTTGAAACATTTTGGCTCATCTTGAGGCATGCTCCTTTAAATTACAGTCTTATTCTTATGATAAAATATTCCAGAATCAACCAGCTGATTACCATGTGACTAAAACATAAAGTAAAATGTCAATCAAAACGTATTCCCTACCATTCAATAATGCATATATCAACCTAACAAATCAAACATTGTCATTGAAAACCAAAGTTTAATTCAAATTAGCAAAATAAATTGTACAATTACACATAGTATAAGCCTTAATCAATACTTTTTGATACCAATATTATAGAAAAATTTGCGCTGAAAAAAATTTTGACAAAGGAGATCAATATTTTGTTACACAAATTATTTTGATAGTAAAATTTGTGTATTCATCACTTCACACGCTTTTATGTTACTAATATACTCAATTAAATAAATTAAATGGAATGCCTAATTAAAACAAAACAAACTCTTTTTTTTTATAATTATTTATATTCTCATCTTCAAGTAATGTAATTGGAAATTTACCCTTACTAGTCTTGATAATTATAACCCTTGAAGAAAATTTAACTATAATAAGAAAATTTAATTATAATAAATCTGGAAAATTTTAATAAATCACACTAAAATATGGAAAATCTTAATAAATTTTCCACAAGCTTTTACTATGAATGCATACATCTTCAGCAGAATATAATATGCTTTATATATATAAAAAATATTAATCAAAATATGCTGATAAAATTTACAACATTTTTAAAAGGTGGGTGGGGTAAAACATATGCTAAGTTTAACATAAAAATAAGTGGTGGGTCTTTCAGCCCTGCATAGGGAAGAGAGCGCTGATAGTTTTATTGGCAGTGATATGCAAGTCATGCAGAAAGGTAGAGAAGCAAGTTTGATAGCTGATGTACAAATTATATCATTTTGTCTAAAAAAATCAGTATTTCTTGAACAAACAAATCTATAAAAATCTACATTTTATACATGGGGCTAAATTTTTTCAAAAAATATTTCGAATGGTTGCTTGTGATTCATATACTGACAGCTTGGTGTGAAAGGGTTGTAACTCCTTCTTTACTTAATACGAGTTACAACCCTTTTGCACCGGTCAACAAATTTATGACTTATTTATGTGTATTTAAGTCATTTATACAAAAAAAAATTAGTTCATACATTGGAAATATCATAAACACATATCAGCTGTTCATTTCAAACCTAGAAACAGGACATATTTCATAATACACATAAATGACATTATTAACTTAGCAAACAATAATACTTCTCTAGTGGGGATTTCTACCAACTTGGAATCAGAGGTAGAAGTTAAGGTCACATTCACTCACTCATAACAAAGTATCACTTTCATAGATATATATACACAACAATTAAAAAATAAACCGAAAACTAATTTTTTACCTATCATCTATTTTAAATAAACCAGACCAGTTTTCTTTCACACTATGTCAAAAACCCCTGATGTCAATTCATTAACCTTACACTATGATAAATATTATACATTTGCTAAAATCACACTTCAATAATTTTAATATACTTTAAATAAATAACTGATTTTTATTTCTCTCATAATCATTATACGGGTTTCATTGAATTAAAGCAAGTTTATTATAACAAATAATGCATACTACTATAGTCTATAGCCAATAAATAATAATTCTGTTACAACAGTAAAATATCTTTACAATATAAACTCTAAAATCTGAAACATTTACAGGCAAAAATAGACTGGGAATCAACAATTTCTTATCTGTTCAATAATTCTGGGCCTATTTTTTGGTAATTCGTTTTTTGCTAAAATCTTGGGGCAAATATTTCTGTACTTGTACTTAACTTGCTGTCACACAATAGTCCATGTGGTCTATTCATAAACGAGAGGACATTTTTAAAAAGGTAGAGTATTTTCTAAATATTTATGTGTTCACTACCTAATTTAAACTACATTAAAATCCACTTATAACTATATTCAGGGAACCAACAAATTTATAATCATCCAGACATTGCTATATCCAAGAGACAACCAATTGGAAAACAAGAGTCAGAACAGCGGCAGCAGCATCGTTAGAAGTGGTGTATTGTTACAAGCCATATTATTATAATTGCAGTTCACTGTATGTTCTATTTATAGAAATAAAAAATTTTAAGAACAATGATGACAAGTACATTCAAATGTTAACAGTATACATGTATACCCAAACACCTAAAAATAAAGATAAAAACAACAATCTATACATTTTCAAAAGGCAAGGGCTTGTAGTCATGGGTAGTGTAATCTCAGCAGCGAGTGTTAAAAGCACTAATGTAAATTTACAGTGATTTTAATTAATACCTCTATAATAATGTGTTATTCTCCTAATTATCATTAAGGTGCAGAGTTGTAACGTTAACAAATAGCGTGAAACACTTAAAATACTTTGTACAATAGTTTGAATACATACAATTAAAATAGAAAAGATAGAAAAAATAATCACTAAGGGTTATTCAAGGAAGACACAAAATAGACCCGTGACAACACAAAGGCAGAGTATCTTATTTTTGGTTCATTTTTCTGGGCTTTCTAACATGTTTTTCAGTTATAAACCACAAGGCAGTAATTGTTGCTGTGAATTACTTTTCCAAACCTTTTTTCTTTTGAAGGAAGGGGTGATATTTAGAAAGTTAAATTACCAGCAATTTGTGACAAAATCCTGAAGTCAATAATTAATCATATAAAGCACCAATATGCACACTTAAATTGCGTAAATACATTTTAAATCTAATACTTCTAGCATATCAATCATTCATACAATAAGCATTCAAGGTTAAATTAATTATTTTATAATATAAATAAAAGGCTGTCCGTAAGACATGGTGCTCCATTTTTCTCAGTGCTTGACAGTTAGAAAAGGGGCATAATTCCTGTAAAACGGTAACACAGAGTTATGGGATGTGTGCCTATCATGTTAGATAATCACAGACAAAACAAGTGTACCATGTTTAAATTGACCAACTATAAACTGCCATTTCAGACATATCCCAAATGGAACATTTTACAATACAGTTACCTTGAACACATTATCTAATTGCTAGAATATGAAAAGAAAGATCAACAAGGAAGAGTGTCAACAATCATTGAACACAGTAGCTCTCAACCAGATAATAACCATATACCAAGCTGTACAAAACAACACCAACTAACTTCAGCAATCATATTAAAAAATCTATCAGAGTAACTCAATAACTGATAATATATATGGTCAAGTATGGTCAGTAAGAGATAAAACTAACTCTCTCTCAAGCTGTTATGAAAGTAAGCTTTTCTTTGTTTGACTTTAAATTTGAAGTCACACAAGACCAAATAGAATCATATGCTTCAGTTTAAAGGGACCACGAAGTTTATTAATTTTTGGAATTGATTATTGGCACCATAATTTGCATGTTTTATTTGTTTGTTTGGTTTAACGGTGCACCAACACATGCCAAGTCATATGGCGCCAAACAGGAAAGATGATTTTCGCTAACCTTGGTTGTTTCAAACTTCAAAGAAACACCAGGGTAAAAACCACTTCACCTGCTGGAGCTAAGAAATGCATAGACTCCAGTAATTCAAAGCCCATTTAGTCCCCTCTTACGATCACACAAGGTTCCATAATTAAATGAAATCGGAGAAAATCTTGATTCTATATAAAGTAACAAATGATATTTGGTATTAAGTGTATTATACGTACATACTATCACCATGCATTCTCAAATGAAGCAACAAAATAGCATAATAAATTTGTATAGTTAGACACTTATATGAAAAAAAAAATTATTTTAACAGCTCAAAAAGAGGTACTTAGCAAGAATAATAGTTTCAAACGTTAAATTTTGCACATACTAGTAGCATCTAACTATTTAAGTTGTTGACCTACTCTTCGTAGTAAGGCATAGTGTTTATCCAGAAAGATGCAATGTGATGCCATAGATGATTGATTAAATAAATGCTTCTGAGGACAGTTTATGCGAAAAAGACTGGCAGAAATTCTCATATTCAAGCATTCTTATCGGGCCAAAAAAAAAGAAAGAGTAGAGCAGAGACTAAAACTTTGACTAGAGCAGGAAATAATTGTGAAGTAACCTTTATATAAATGAAAATAATGAAAAACTAATATACAGCATAACTAAGAAGATAAGATAATGATCAAAATTAATTAATGACTTACATTCAGACTGCACACCTAATGTTTTTAGCATGTTTCTTTTTTTTGTTTGCTCTCCTTTTATATTATGGAATTTCATTTCAAAATTTAGTGATTTGATTTACATGATATTAAATGTATACATACCACATTGTCTTATAGAAGTTTCTATTATATGCTTTGAGGTTTACTGGTTTTATAAAAAAAAATTACAAAAGACCATAAATCAACATTTGATTGGTTAAATTGAGAAGCGACATGCTTCTTTATATAGTGACAACTTTGTAAACTGAATGTTTGTATCAAAACTACAAATGACTTGTAATTAAGCAGGTTTTAATTAAATAGTCATAGTTTAATATTTTTGTTGTTTCAAGATATGCATTTGACAAACCACAAATTTGAAAACAAAAAAAACAATCAAGACAAAAAACCCAACACTCACTTCTTTTTAATTTCCAATGCCTGGTACAAAAAGTTATATATAAGGTATATAAGTTTCACTGTAACCTCACAATAAATAATATATCTTTTATTTGTGACCCTTCTATATATATCTGAGGTAGATAAATCATGTCTTATTTATTGGTCGTCTCTGAAAATTGATAAAAATTTAATGGTATACACTGAAGTGAATATTGTATCAAGTTTAAAGCTAATATTATGGTCATGAAAATATTTTAACTTCCACTTTCTTTAAAAAGAAAATGAAATAAAACTAAATATTATTTGTATATTGGTAATCCAAGGCATTAAAAACATATAAAATTTCTATTAATACGAGTAGTATGTTGAATTTCTGGAAGTAAGTTATATGACAAAAGAATGCAAGAAAATGCTTAATGTAAGTATATTGCCTAATTATTAATAATTACTTATTAAAAAAGTTTGTTATATAATTAACAAGAGTAACACTTGCACAAAGTCTCTTACCAGTTAGACAGTGGTATTGACTTTAACAAATAATGTAAGCTAATGAAAGTGTAAAACACAAGAATCATGTAAACTTGTAAGGCAAAACCTATCACCCTCTGGGACATGGGCCAATTTTGACCATAATTTCTAAAATTTTGATCGAGATCCACTTGACAATATTTCTTGTTCTTAGTGTTTCAAAGATGAAGAATTTTAAGGCTTTAACTATAAAAAAATATATTAAGAAAAACCCATGATGCCCAGGGTAGGGCCAAATTTTACCCAAATTTTACCTTAAACTGGTGCAGGGCCTCCAGATGATATTATCACAAATCAAAGCCTTGGGTCTTGTAAGTTTCAGGCAAAAGGATTTTTTAAATGTTATTTTTGTAATCCTTTTTTTTTTTAGATATGACCTACTTATGCAACCCACCAGAACAATTTTGAAATGAGGCCATCAATGCATTATGCTGGTTCTGTTTAGTAAAAATACTGTGATCTGTTTCACAGTAAATGTTGTCTAAAGAAATTGTTGAAGTGGAACTCAACTTTGCACATTGGACAGAGGGCGATCACAAGAGCTAAACAAGAGCATTTTGTGCTAAGGTGAACTAAAAAATAATACATTTAACAGGTTACATGTAAACTTCTGACACAACAGTAAGTTTTTTAATCTAACACTCATATGCCATTTACCCTGTCATGTACAGAACATAATTATTCATCTAAAAACAAACAGCTTATGTACCTAAATATACATATTAATGAACAATTCTTGTCCCCTTTACATACATGGTATATGGCCAATGCAAGCAAAATAAAACCTATTACAACTTACAACAAAATTGTTATTTCGTTATGAAATTCCAGTCGCATAAAATTACATTTTTACATAAATGCATAATTTGACATATATAATAAATTAATGAAATTACTATTTCTTAAATCAGTCAGCTGTTAATTTCATACAATAAGAAAATACAATTCTGGCAAGACTGGGTTCAAACTGACAATACCATGTTTTATAACTGGCAAAACAATGCTTTCAAACTGACAATACCAAGTTTTATAACTGCAAAACAATGTTTTTAAACTGACAATACCATGTTTTTTAACTGACAATACAATGCTTTCAAATTGACAAAAAATACTGACATAGGGGAATCAAAGCATTGCCAACTGGCAACAAAATTTTAATAAACTGACAACATAATGCTGCAAACTGGCAACACAAAGATTCCTAAACTAGTATAAATTCAGACATCCTGACAAAAGGGTGTTGTCTGCTGACAACAAAAGCTGCATCTGAAATCACAATGTTCTCATTCTGACAATAAAACGCTACAAGTTAGCAAAATTACTACTTTAAAAGTTTACATATTTATAACACAAGGGACAATTATGACAACTTTGACACCCAGTGCAACCAAACTGACAATAAAGTGTTTTAAGATTTACCAACACAATGGTTTACTCCACCATCATACAAAACATACATGTAATATCCATGGATCAGTGCGAAACAGATATTACTCCTACATTATGTAATATGAGTTACAGCTATTTCGCACCAAACCCTCGATATGCATAGCATATTGTTACATATAAATCTTACATTAGAGACAAAATGCATATGAATCATGGATGGAAACTTGTTAATCAAAGACATTAGCCTTTTTCATGGTTCCTTGGTTTATTAAAGTAAAAAGTTATATGCACTTTTAATTTTATGAACCCTGTCTAACTGACAAAGACACAAAAAACAAAAGTTGAATAAGAATTACTTAACACACATTTGTACATACTTTGTAAGTTGCATTTAAAATTGACCAACAATTGAACAGTATACAAATGTAAGGACATTGAATTTAACAGTGCTTTCAAAAGAGAAAATATCTTTAAATCTAATATTTAAATCTAATAATTACTGGAATTACGCCTGCATTGTCAATATTAAATCCACATCAATGATTTAATAATCAACTAAACATTGTTGTTATTTTTTTTTTCTTTAACACAGCTTTTATGATGCTTTTAAACAACAAAATCTCAATAAATAAAAAACATCAATAACTTTTTACCCATTTTTCAGACTACATACAAATCCTTAACAGTTCTACATACCCAGTTTAATATATATATCATTTTATAAAATCACAGCAAAATGTTTAAACATTACTGTACACTAAATCAGCAGTATTAATTGCGCTGCATTTGTTAAAAGACTAGGAACAGTTTTGTTTCTTGTTTGCTAAATTAATATCCTTATTAACATTTATTAATATTAATATCAAATCCAAATACACATTTTCAAAAATATTTACCCCTTATGGTTAAGTTGCAGTTCATTTTTATAGTAAATGAGTTTTAATCAACCTTTTTATCAGACATCCTTTTACTAAAATCAAAAACTAAGATAAAAAATAAATACATGTAGTCTTGATTGGGCCTTTTATGAAATCTAAATCATTCTTTTTTTAAAATTATTATTAAAGATTAGAAAGGACTGAATATTTTTAAATAACTGTGAACCTTTAATCTGCTTGAGTAGAAAGTGATCACCCTTTGCCAACAGTATAGAGTAAGACAAGCTAAGAGCCAAACCAGTTTGCACATCTTTGCAGACAGATCACAGACTCTTTAGTGCTGGTAGCTCAATGTTTTGGTATCTTGAATTTGAAATCCCTGAACAGCTGTGGACTGTTTCTAATTCAAAGATGGTCAAATCCATTATACATATTCAGCATGTTAAGGGTTAATATTTGAATTTTTGGAATATGACTAAAGTTTGTAGCTAAATATCAAATTAAGACATGTATAAAATTTTCCCTTGCTCAAATTCTCACTGGTTATTAAAACTTGTTTCCTGTCTTTTATCATTAAAAATATGAAGTATAAAACCTATACAGTATTTCTGTATATAATTTTTCATTCCATTCTTCAAAAACTCCAGTTTTCATGAATTGTTCAAAATTGTTTCCTGCCTTTCCATCATAGAAATATGAAGTCCAAAAGCCCAGTCAAAATAAAGAATTTGATTGGTCAATCATGAATCTCAGTATCAAATCTGGGAACAATTGTATGCATGGCCATTCTGCACCATTACCTTCTATATTTCTTTTTCATTCTTCAAATTATGTTATCAACTTATTGCATTAGCTAACATATGGATATTTTCCTTTTGCATAAACATTTTTAACTCTTATATATAACACTATCAGCATTTGCTATTAACCATTAACAAGATATATATACATAAATCTAAAAATACATTTCTTTGTCTATAAATAGATTTCCTCTTCTATAAATAGATTCTGATTCTATAAATACATCCTTTATCCATCAGATTCAGCATTCATCACAGTGTCATTTAGCACTTGAAATCAGAATCATACAATCAACTCTTGCCGAGACCCAGCCCTTGCACTGAATTTTCATCAAGACGAAACAGCAGAACTGTGTTTTCTGCATTCTTCCTTGTGAACCATAAAATATAGACATTCTTCAATATGAAAACTGTTCGATAAATAAATCATATTACTGTTGATATCAAATTTATATATACATATAAAATGCACCATTAAAATATGTTGTGGTCTGTTCTTAATTAACACTTTACGAATTGCACGTGTCTTGCTTGACGACTAGGTCAGGTGACTATCTTTGGTCGAATTTAACATCCTCTTAAACTACCTCACATGGCCTCAGTTTTTCACAGTCTTGGTTATTCACATTTTCATATCTGTTAATACCCACTTTTGTCCATCAGTCCCATCACATGGCCCTGAAAAATGTGAAACAAAATTACAATGTATAAAAAAAGGCAACTTCATTAGCAGTTATTATAAGACAGGTTGGTCGTATGATACTATCAGTAAATTGCAGGTTATTAACAAGAAACAGGTCAAATTAGACCATCATTTAAAAGATGGAAATAAACAAGAACCATGGCAAGGCAGAATATATACAAGGGACAGTTGTGAAAGGTCAGGAAAAAAACAAGGGATCTTCATGTGCACAAAATAAACAAGGAGAGGCCATGAAAGGTCTATCAAGAAAGGGCAGGAAATAAACAAGAGACCATAATGGTCAATAGGGCAACATGGAATGGCAGAAAATAAACAAATTGATCATCATGGAAGAGCAGGAAATGAACATGGGACCATCATGTAACATTGTGGAAGGACATAAAAAATAAGAGACCGTAATGGAAGGGTAGGAAATAAACAAGAGACCGTCATGGCAGTCTGGAAATAGACACAGAGACAAATAAATAGTTAAACTTACCTATAGAAGGAGATTCATGATCATGAGGTGATGCTTTACCTAAGCATTGGTTACTGTTTACATGCTTCAATTCATATGTCTGAAAAACAAACAGCACACGATCAGTACAAATTCACCTTTCATGAACCATAATTTTAAAATATCAAATCAAAACCCACACAATTTGTTACATTTAAACTGTTTATCACTTGCTTTAAGTTTACTATAAATTTTGAAATAAAGGTTGGCATTTTTGAATAAAGGTTGCAATTTCCGAACACAAAAAAAGAGAAGAAAAAGTTCATTACAAATCTTCCGTAATTTCAAAATTAATTTCATTTGTGTTGAATCTCTTAAATTGTAATAAATTAACCTTTCTGTAAAAAGTTGTACATAAAATCTTAGCAATTTTTTTCATCTTTATCCCAAAGGTATCAAGCTCTGTTTTAAAAGCTAGACAATATCTAGAAATAATTTCTGGATAATCCCTATACCCATGTTTTAAGCCATAGCACATTCAGGGGAAAAAAACTTTAAATTTTAACTTAGTGCATTAACAGTTTTTTTTCCAAACACCTCTGATGACAAAGTAGTTATAAAATCTAAAAATCAAAATAAAGAGGGGAAAGGTATATAATAAAGCAGCTAATTCTAGCTATTTACACTGGAAACAAAAACAAAACTGTTCAACCACAACATAATACATAAGCATTAAGTAACAAATAATAAAACAATAACAATTTTGATGACAACACATCACATGCAATGCCTTTAGCAACCTTTATAGACTTAAAAGCCATAAGTACAAAATTAATCTTTAGAAGATTATTGCTTACTCAATTAACATTACGTTCTTTTGTGTAGGCATGACAAATTGAAAGCTCTACATAATACAGTGTTTCTTTTAGAGTGCAAGAACATGGGAATCCTATATTTGAAGCAGGGGAGCTATGCTCAAAATTTATTCTTCACTTTAATTGCTCATCCTTCACAATATTTTTTTCTTTTTGGTGGTTTTTGCTCCTTAAGCTTAATAAATTGGATAATGGTTCAGTATAATTGGTTCTGTCAATCCTTAGCTTTAACAATTTGACCATTGGTTTCATTAATTGAGTGGTACTAATTGGTCCCATATAAAGCTCTATCAATTTGTTCACTTATATTTATACATTGTTCTCTAACCATACAAATAAATACTTATATCAATATTAGCAATATAGTGGCAGGCAAGGCTGACTTTTTTGTGCGGACTGAACAAAGTCTATACTGTTATTTCTTCAATATGAACAAAGACACTGACCAAAGACAGTTGATACTTGGTAAATACAAGGAGGGTTTTTACATCCAAACTTTAATTTAGCTTGATAAATTCCCTACACTGAGAAATGAAACATTGCTAAGAGTAACTTAAATCCACAAAAATCTAGTTTAATTCTTTTAGTTATTGTGCTTGAACATGAACAACATACCATACCCTATGTGAAATTTTAATGAAAAAAGTTTATAGATTGAATACATTAAATCAAAACAAAGTCTCAGTAACTAGAGGTGTAAGTATGCTACAAACAAACCAGAATATTAACATATATATAACATGGCAATACATTTATAGCATACAATTACACATAAAGGTTGTAGCAATAAAACATAAACATACATGCTATGCAAACTGCCGCACACCTATCAGTAGTTTTACTATTCCCATTTTACATTGAGCACATACAAAATATGCAAATTACATTCAGATATTTATGAACAATTTAAAAACAGGTATGAATAAACTTGAATTTGATTCTTAGCATCCTGACTCCAACTGACACAAGACCAGTACAGACCAAGAACAGCTGGCACATTCCTAGCCATCTGATCAGGGTTTGCACTATTCCCTTTTCAGACAGCATATAATTTGAAATCCCCACCCCCACTGAAATGATGAATAGTTTTGTCCTCATTGAAAGATGGAAGAATTCATTTAAGATATTAAGTATGAAAAGGGTTAAAGAAACATCAAGCCAAAAGCAGAATGATGCCTGTATGGTCAACAAAGAATCTTCATGTCAGTATTTATAATGTATTTGTTTTCTGTATATAACAGTGCTGTACGTTTATATGCTCAACTATAAAATGGGTATAGCTCCACTAGTCCTTATCCCAGTTTACAAAGGAAACAATCTACATCACCATGGTTAATGTCAGTTGTCATGGAAACAAAATAAGAACAGAGATAATTAGATTTTTAGTTAAAACTTCTAAAATCAGAGGAATCTGGAATTACTTTACTACAAGTTTGAGTCAAAGTGAGTACTATTTGTTTTTGCAAAAATTCATGAGAGTATTAAATACACTACTTAAACAAGAAGTTTTATATAAACTACTTAAATAGGAAATTATTATGTTCACTACTTTAATAGGGAAGAATTATATAACTACTTAACAAGGGAAGTAGTATAATATATAAACTACATACATAGTGAAGTATTTTTATGCACTACTTAAATAGGAAATTATTATATACACTTATTAAATAGGGAGGTACTATATGAACTTCTGAAATAGGGAAGTATTATATATAGTACATAAATAGCGCTTAAATTGGTAAGTATTACATAAAATACTTAAAGAGGTAAAAACTATATAAACTACTTCAATAGGAAAGTCTAATTCTAACCACTTAAATAGGAAATTTATGTGGAAATACTAATTTTAACTACTTAAATAGGAAATTATTACATACAAACTATCTAATAAAGTATACAAGATTTAATTGAGCGTGATAACTATACAAAGTTGGGTAAAATGGAATAGACTGACACATACTACTTTATAAATACATACACTACCTAACAGCAATTTTATCAATTATACAGCTAAATACAAGGAATACATAAATAACTTATTTTTAAAGAATGTTTAGGGACTGACTGTGACTGTACTAATAATCTGTTAAAGTACTTATTTTGAAAAAAGAAGAACAAAAAATACAATTATTAATGCTTTCAGAATTCCATGAGTGATTTTGTGTTAGTAGACTTTTTAGTTATGTTATACTAATATTACATTCACTACGGATTATATAAAAACTACAAGAGGTACATAAATGAAGTAAAAGAATGTTTGTATTACTTTTAGTGGCTTATAAGTCATTTAATACATACTAAAAATATGATATATCATTCCATAAACATTCATTCGTGCAAGCAAATTGTTTTCAATTTTTATCTGGTTATGCTTTTCTCTTTTTTTAATTACTTAATTTATTATACCATTTATGTCATAAAGTATAAATTGATATATCAAGAAATCAAAAGGGATTCAGAATTTGGATCAAAAGTTTGTTATAAATTGTTAAAGGCAGTTATGGTATGTCATAAAATATATATAAATGGTCAGACATTCCTTAAACATATCTGAATTAACCTTACAAGTGAATGGATAAAAACAGTTCTTTTACTCATTCAAATTTGTTTCTTATTTCTTAAATCACAGACCAAGTAACTAAAGCTTTCACAACCTTACTTTTACTCATTCAATACTCAAAAAAGTTATTTCACAAAGTTAAAAAAAATAAAAATGTGGAAACGAAAAAAAATCATAACAAAAGAAAAAGTCAGACATGAGCAGAAACATAAAGTAGTGTTTTTTGTTTCCATGACAACCTACTGTTATACTCTTGACAACTGTTAACTACCTCTTTACTATAATCCCATACAGGTCCGTCCTGCTCGCACGGCATGAATTTGGCCGCGCCACGGCTCACCGTAATACAAACATTCTCGTCCATCATGAGTTGGCCTTTTCCCGTTAAGGCAAACACCTGTTGTGATAATTATAGCCATACAAGAAAAAAATATAAAGCACATGCATCAGCCGACACTATCAAGGTCAAAGTTCAAGGTCACATGACAAAAACGGCAATATCTTGTGAACTTGTATAAATCTTACTCACATGCTTTCAGTCTATATATCTTCATCAAATATTCAAGAATGAATGAATGACAGCGATAACTTGGAATATTGGTAAAAGAAATGATACTCATGGACATATTTGTCATTACAATTTAATATTTCTGCCATTTTTTCTCCTAAAAGTAGATCACCCAAACAATTGCTGCTTTTTTATTCCTCTATACATTAAGTCTCTTTGCCAACAAGATAATGCCATTTTTGTACAATGTCAAGATCCAAAGGTACAAAATTTAACCTGATCACCAGTATGTAACTGCATAGGTTGTCATTGGTTGAATTTGAAAATTTTACTTGTAAATCAACCAATCAGACAACAGTGACAGTTCTAGACTGGTTTGCTCATTAAAAAATTTTGTATCCTTGAGTCCAGCTGAACTTCATTAAAAAACAGTACAGTCAACAGATTTAACTGGAATGTTCCACAGTAACATGATCTAAAAACAGAAAGAAACTTATTTCTATTAGTAATATATATTACAAGTTTTGTTGCCATTTTCAAACACCGAAACTTTTCACATTTATAAAATCAGTTAAAGTGTGTGAATATTGATATTTGGAATTTTACATCATTTAAGCACATTTTACAAAATGGCAACAAAACCTTATCTACAAAGAATGCATGCCTGTCTGCTCACTATTTGTTCTAACATTATACAATAACTTTTGATGCAACAATAATCTCACTGTTAACGACAGCTCTTTATTTTCATTATCTAAATTCTTTGGGTTGATACATTAACATGCATTCTTTGAGACAGTCTATTCTACTACATGATAAAGACATAAACCACAATATGACACAAATACTGCACACATGCAAAAGAATACAGTATCAAGATGTCAACACTACCGCAAATTATACCAAAACAAGGGAAATAGGGTTCTACAACAGTTAGTTCCCCTGTGATTTCCACAGTTAGTCCCCTTTAGTGGTAATCTATGGAAAGAGTAACCTCCCCTGATTACTCTTCAAGTGATGAGGCCTACCTCCTTATTGTAATCCCATTTCTGATTACCACCCAGGCCGTGGCACTGAAACAGTTTAACTGGGCCGCCCATGGCCGATACATCCATACAGACGTCATCCGTCTGTAAAGCCTGCTTACTTGTGTAAGAAAATATCTACAAAAGCAAACTTTATTAGTATCATGTCAAAAAATAATTAAAACAGAAAAAAGTGCCAGCTTAGTTCAGTTAAAATTCATTTTCTGATTATTTTTAACATAAAATTAAAATCATTTAACATACATGTAATATGTAGAACAATTTAACAAATAAGGGTACTTTAACCCATTACGTCATATACACGCCTTTTAACGCCTTTTTCACCCCCCCCCTTTTGTTGTCTCTAATGGTGAAAAAATGCCTTATTTAGGCCCCCAACACTTGTTTTTGTTTGAGAAATGTTGTTAAAAAAAGTGACCACTTTTTCGGCGCAGCCCCCCAACCAAAAGATACATCAGGGGGTTGCCAGAAGGAGGATGTGCCCCCTTCTGTTTGAGGGGTTTGAAGGGGGGGCAGAGTCCCCCTCATCGCCAAGAAAATTTTGGACTTGTGAGAGGCTATAAATGACCCCAGATAATGAAAAGCATTTGACTATATCTCAATCCATTGAGAAGTTGCAGCACTTTGAAATCAATTTTGATGGAAAAAATCAACGCAAAAGAGTGATTTTTGGCAATTTTGAGATGTCCCCTCGTTGCCATGGTAACAGAAAATTTAAACCTGAGCATGTTGTTTCAAGGACAATGGTCCAGTCAACATTTGTGCCAAGTTTGATTAGTGTTGAAGCAGTTTTTATAGTATTATAGCAATTTGAACTTGTAACGGGAGACTTATCAATGAAAACAGCCATTTTTCACAAAATGCTCATGAAGTAATGGGTTAAAACACAACTGAAGAATCTGCACATTTGAAATATGCATTTCAAAAGTGAGAAACCCTCAAATGTACAATCACATTATTCACACTGGTAAAATCTACAGCTCTTAAAATAGAGACACAGTAACAGCTTGTTGTTTCAGCAGGAAATTGATGGTCTAAACTCATCTCCTTTTGTCATCTTCATTCTGACTCTATTTAACATAGTTTTCAAATATGGATACTGGTTTTCCATATAATTATGTTAACAATAATAATATTATTTTAAGCATGCTTTGAGTGTACATGATTTTAGCTACATTACAATAAGTTTCTTACATATCAAGTCAATGAAAATGGTCATTAAAACATATAATAGATTCTAATATTCAAAATTTATTTGAACCAGTCTTCATCTTTGAATCTGTCCTCATTATCAACACCCAATATGATTCAATCCAAGAGGCTGGTCTTTGATACATACATGTTGAGACTGGTTAACAAATGAAATATTCCTATAGTTTAAACATTTGTTGACAATCTTTACTCTCTCCTTTTTATCTTTAAGTCACACTCTCTGAATGTTACATAGCAACTTTCTTGACTTAAAGATCCTGTATGTTGCATACCACTCTTCATTGAATTATATATGTATGTAATTATGCAAATTTGACAATTTTCAAACATGGAAGAATATGTAAAGTATGTATTGCAAATATTTGTACATATTTAAGGTAATCATTAAATTATATGCATTCATTTCTTATTGGAAAAATTGACTTAGAATTTATAGAAAACTAAATTCTAATTACTTCCCTTTATTTACATGAAATATTAAATTCGGTAATATCTTTAATAATGTTTTTTGAAACTTACAATATCGATAAATCTTAATTTGAGCATCATAATTTGTATATAAAACCATAAAAATAATGTGCTACAGGATCTTTAATGATTGGAAGACCTCACATGTATTTCATATAAGTAGAACTACTGACCTAACCTAGAAGGATAATTTTCTCGCAGGAAAGTACCCAATGTCCCTTTTGGGGTTCTAACTTGCAGTAAACAGGGGTTGCTGAGTATAATAGAACAAATAACAATTGCACAACTCATCTTTGGCATTTTCAAAATGTGCTCCAACTTAAGAGGTTATTAAACCATATATTGATACAGAAAACAAATTGTTCACTGTGAAGAAAATATGGTTTTCTGTTATCTATATATATTACCATATTATTTGTGTGAAGCCCTAATTTACACAATACTCTGCATTCTTTCCATAGCTTTTACAAAACACTATAAATTTTCAATAAGACAACCTATCATTATATCATGGGAATGCATATCAGTGTTTTAATAAAATCATGACAAACTTTTTTTCACTCAGGTTTTAGTATATAATTGGGAAGACATTTTAAATGGAGCGCATCTCTTTCCTTGTGTGCTTTCACTTGACATAACCAAAGCTCACCATGATATTTCCATATTTATATTTCTTTAACATTATTTAATGCCATAAAACTTTATGAAAGAATGTTCTATCAAAATACAAAAAAAATCTGAATGTACTGTATGTACCCAAAAAATGATCATTAAAATCATTCATACCTGATTTCCACCCATTCCATGACAATGGACGAGACCAATTTTCTCGCCACTTTTACGTCCCATACTGTCTATACAGGCACCTGACTCTTTATTCTTTATCTACAAAACAAGCATAAATTTCATGTTATTTAGTTGAATTTAAAACATTATGCTGGGGGGGGGGCGGGGGGTTTTGTTATTCATTCATGAGTGTATCATCTCTGTTGATAATCATATACAGTATTCTGTACAATTCAGCTGCATTTAACTTTTAACCTGATGAATATGAAATATTGAGTTACCATCAGTATAGAATCTAGTAAGACCGTGCCAATGTGCATGCTGGTCTGCCTTTATACTGGTGACAATACTGATCACTGTCATTTCGAGCAGGTTTTCAGTAAAAATGTAAAAAGACATGAAAATAACACGTACCTCTCCTAATGCATGATATTCTACAGGCATCTGTGATTCTGGATATACATTCTCTAAATACCATTTAAAACTTTTACATTGTTTCTTCTCTCTAAATTCTTTCCTTGCACTAACATCACCATAATCTGTATTTTTTACACCTGGAACAATATTTCAAAAAAACATGAACTTCACTTAGAAAGTTTTCTTTTAAAGGATTTTCTAGAAGAGTCTGCCTTCTTTTCAAACAAGATTTCCAAATCAGCAGTGGGAAACAAATGAGCCGCGTCATGACAAAACCAACATAATGGGTTTGCGACCAGCATGGATCCAGACCAGCCTGCGCATCCGTGCAGTCTGATCAGGATCCATGCTGTTCACTTATCAACCCTATTACAAGTAGAGAAACTGATAGCAATTAGCATTGATCCTGATCAGACTGCGCGGATGCGCAGGCTTGTCTGGATCCCTGCTGGTGGCAAACCCATTATGTTGGTTTTGTCATGACGAGGCTCAAATGATCTTTAACACTCTCTGTCAGAGACCAATTGTCAGAGAAAATTCAACTCCCTTGAGGCCTCTGAATTACAAATTTGATGCTCTCCAAATTGAACTATTTGGATGGACAAATATCACCTAACAATTATCAAAAGTAAATTCTTAAATCATTATTTTTAGATATTTAATATTTCAATACATTTTACATACCTGGATTAATTTTATAGAAAAAGTCTTTATATTCGTCCATCCATACTTCTACAATTCTTTGGGTGTTATGATTAATAATTCTGGCCACACCTCCAGGCCAGGAATAAGGTGAGGTTTTCCTGAACACATGACCCACACGGGAACATGTTACAATGTAGACTTTACCACCACACATCCATACCTGAAGGAGAAGTAAATTTTATTAACATTGTTTAACATAGCAGAGGTCACAGGTCTGTCTGTCTACCTTTGACATACCAATACAATTAATTTTAGTTTTTAATACACAGAAATGGGACCTATATATATATATCTCTTTTACAGCTCTACTAACTTGGCTGCTATTTTCTTCAAATAAGGGGTCAAAACCACCTCAACTGCTGGCTCACACAGGGATAAACTGTGGTTGCAATTTTGATGCCCAAACACTAAAAGGCAATTCCTCACCCACATTGGGAACAGCACAACACTCTGAATCCTCTGGCTATGGGACAGAATCCCGCCAGAGGATTCAGAGTGTCTTTGGCTGCCTTAACAATCAACAGTGGTGCAATTTCTTTTTAACAAAATATAAGAAGCTGTCATTCTGTGGGACTTAAATGTGCTATGTCTAGGTCCTCAGAAAAGTCTGACAATTATGGTGAAACAACCAAACAAATAAATACCCATATGTTTATTTCATTCTTTAGTAACATCAAAACTTACTCTGAAAGACATTTCTAGATTTTCAGCTCCCCAGATATCCATACCCTCATCATATGATCCTATCTCATAAAAATAGTCCCTGTCTATAGAGAATAAACCTCCTGCCATAGTTGGGGTCCTGTAATAGAGAAATCAATAGTATATAAATAACAAATAGGTTTGTAAGTAACAGTAAAAATATCATCTTAAGGAAAAAACTGTTATCTGAGATGTTAGCCGAGGGTTAGATTATTTTTTACAAGGAATGGTATTTTCACGAACCTCTGTGTTATTTATTTTATTATCTCAAACAAATATGTCGTTGGTACACTGTTCCTATAGATTTTTTTTTCTTCAGATTTTTACTGTGAAAAAGTAATGTTATCTATGTACCAGTACAAAATTTTTAGTCACATGGTACACTTTAATCAACAGTTAGATCAACTCCGCATGGCCTATAGGAAATTAACATTACAAAAATAGTGAGGGGTAATAATATCAGTTGCATCAGAACCTGCATTTTAATATTGTTATAATAATAATAATAATAATATGAATTATTATTGATTTTGTTTATCAAGTATATTGTATGTAAAATCATTTATCTGACAAACGGATTTTTACGTTGCTATGGCTGACTTAGTAACATAGCAATGTTTAGATTTGAAATTATGCATTTCCAATACCTCAAAGACCTGACTAGCTTACTATGTGTAATATAATGGATATACTCTGCTTTGAATTTTATTTAAGTTCAATATCAAAATGCAATTATTGAGAATTTCAACAAGGAAGGGCAGGTTGGTTTGGCTCTATGCTTGTGGCAAAGGCTATTCATTTTCGGTGAGTGGGACTAAGAAAAGTGAAGGACCACCACACTAAATACCATATTATTGTATGAACAAGGAAGTTGAATGCAGCTAAAATCTCTCCTTTTCATCCGCCGAAATGCACTTTAGAATGTCTAATTCATCACCTCACACCAATTTAAAAATCAATCATGACTAAATAATTTAAGAATCTGCGAATAAAGAGATATCTTTTTTACTTTGTGACCATGATTTTTGCAAGTGTCTAAAGGTACTGTTCCGTCACTGTAGTGAGTTTAAGTTAAAGCTTACCTGACTGGCTGACTCCTGTCTCCACCTCTCCTATCTAATTCTCGTTGTGGGACCGGGTACCATCTGAAGTTAAGTTTCCAATTAAAACCACCCCATGTCATATCAGATCCAGTAATATATTCAAATGTATCATCACTTATAACATCAATGATGGGACAGGCTACTGCAGTTCTGAAATAAACATTATGTTACATGATTAGCAATAAATAAGATCAAGCACAATTCCATCATTTTATTTTTGTTGGATTTTACCTCCAACCAACACAGAAAAGGTTATATGACAACTTCCCAGCCTAGCTGGTAGAGGGATACCTCAGGTGCCCTTACATGCATTATTTCAGGCATGAAAGGGTACCTGAGTATAATTGCCACCAAAATTTCTTAAACTTGCTTAATTGCTTCCTCACATGAAGAAATCCAAATTCCCTGACGAGAATCAAACCCACAACCTTGAGGAGCTAGTGATTTGAAGTCATCAAATGACCTTAACCACTCAGTCACAGGCACCACTTATATCATATAGTGTCAGGCTTTAACAAGCAACAAAGACAACAGACATAAAATGTGTAGTCTTAACAAATGTACTCAAGTAAAATTTTTGCATGAGATCTTGTAAATTATATTGATCAATTAGCAGTCCACTGCTTTTACTAACTAAAACAGCTGTCAATGAGAAAATACAAGCATGGCATGTGAAAGACCCAAACCAATGATCCATGGTTTGAAAGACACCTTATACATAATATTAACAATTACACTATCAATTATTTCAACTAGTTTCATACAGTTTTACACGTTCTTTATATTACAGAAATGATATATGTATACAAAATAATATTAAACCATTTAGGTCATATAATATCATATATTATACAGAATAGTAAATAAAAACATGTAGGCCCTACCTATCTTTATATATTTCTGTAACAAGAGGCTCTAACCAGCCTTCAGTTGCTTCACAATGAGCATCCAGGAATGTTATTACTTTACCCTTAGCTTTAGCAGCACCTGTACATAACAAGAAAAATATATAGAACATGTAAAACTTATACATGTACCAAAAAACTTTAATCATATGCAAGTTAAAAGTAAACAACTATTTCCTAGTTCAAAACTAAACATATTCATCATACAAGAAAAGCATTGATGCATAGCATCAAAGGGCTTCCAAGCAAGAAATGCAGCAAGTGACGATGAACTAGTAGACATCTGATGACTAGAATATATTCTTATAAATTTTTCAATGGTAAATAAGTTTTACCAGAATTGTATATCATAGATGAATGGACAAACAAAAGACACTGTTCATCGACTAGAGATTAGAATATTATATGTATTTTCTTTGGAAACAAAACAGTAATTAAAATGAACAAAGTCAAATGATGGCAAGGTATAAATCATTTCCAATTCTTGCGGTTTACAGGTTAAATAAGGTATATGTAACTCACCTTTTAATCGAGCTCTGATAAGCCCAGTCCTTTCTTCTGACCTGATCACATAACATCTGACTGGAAGTTTACTTAAATATTCTTCCAACTTTGACCCTAACTCCTCTGCAAAAAAGTACAACAACAAAAATGCTATATAATGGGCTATTTATTTTTTTACATTTCTGTATCTATCAACACTATATCTGTTTAAAAAGTATGTCAAATCAATGAAATTATTGAACAAGTAATTATGACTGAAACAAAACTTTATTAATCATAAATGAGTAAATATTTGTATAATATAAGAGCACCACATGTGAAGTTAATGCTCGTCACATAGGATATTAAAGTTCATTATAGATATACATTGTTGCTTTCAGAGTGCGGTATTATATGATTCCTACGATATTTAAAATTTGTCCCCTAGACTATTTGCCTTCAGTTACAGCTATTTAGATTTATTTAAAGTAATGTCTTTTCTATTTTTTTTTTTTTTTTGCTAATTAAGTTCCTTTAGATTATTACTCACTGGGTACCGTTTTCTATGTGGTATGCATTATGTATAATGTAAGAGAATGGGTACCATCTCTTTGCTTCTGCAAGTTAACAATGCAAAACAGACAGTTTCAATAATATCAAAAGACAACATCATGATCAGAAGATGCAGACAAAAATCAGCTTTCTTTCTTAAATATCTATTTTAGTTTAAGCAAGTGTTATAAGTAGTTTTTCAAATATCATACTTGTGAAAATTAAAGCCAGACTGACAACATAAATTTCAGCTATTAGAAATATTGTTTGTGTCACCTTAATTTAACCAAAAATCTGTCAAATTTTTAATTTCTAATCCTGTGCCCCCCCCCCAACACACACACACCTACAAATTTTGGTTCAGAAGCAACAATACACAAAATTTACTCAACTATAATCCTATGGAACATTTTCAGCTAAAAGATGAATACTTCATAAATATACAAAACTGTTTCAAACAACATGAACATTTAATCTTTCTGCCTCATTTTTAAAGCATCAAAGCTTTCAAAAACCCATTAACCATAATACGTCCATGCTAGAATATAACTTTATATTTGATAAAAGCAAAGTTGTTATAACAAAGCAAATTATCCAAAGCAAACTGAAAACAACATATGTCCACCATTAGTAACATTGTGTCTACAAGATTTTCTTTATAACAATCTTTATAGTAAATTATAACTACTTAAAACATCTCATTTCTAGACAATGTCACCTATAAAAAATTGTCAGAAAATGGCAAAAATTACATCTACGGGGAAATTTTGTGATAAATAGAAACTACAATGTAATAGTTTGTATTTCTATATAGCATATTTGTCTACAAAGAATTGTCTATTAAACAAAATCTATAGCAGTGATTATTTAGAAAAGTAAGCAGAAATTCAACTATTGTTCAGAATCTACCAAAATAAACAACTGAAAAGCAAAATCTGATAAAAATATCAGCTCCTAAATAAGGTAAGGCTTAAGGATCTGACAGTAACCCATTAGAGGTCACCTTCCTGTGACCTTTCAATTAGCCAATCGATGAATGCTTTCACATTTTTGGAAGTAGATCAGTTATTATATTTAACTTTTGGGAAACCAGAAAGATATTTTGTGTGAACAAAAATGACATCATTATGCATTTTTGATAAACAACAGTAAATCAATACAAAAATTATGGAATCTTGTGTGAAAATATACTCAAAATATTTGCCTAAGTGATCTATTCTAACACAAAACTAATAACTTGTCCGACTTCACAAATTATTATGGGTATTCTTATTGGGTTTTTTTTTTAAATGCTTCTCAGTAACAGGTGATTAAATTGGTTGGCTTTAACAGAAAAGGTAAACTTTAGTCAGGTTGTTTTTGACAGTTCAAACATTATTTATATAATTTACGTTAAAAAAAGAAACCATGTAGGACCAGAACACATGATAATAGAGTAATACTTAGTAATCGTACAATTGAAAAGCATTGACTAAACCAGAAAAAGTTGAAACATATACTACTATACAACTCCTAAAAGCAAATTTATGTATTAATAACATATAACAAAGCAAATGGAAGTTAGAGAAGAAAATATTCCAAAATCCCATAAATACTGAATGAAAATCCAGAAACAAAATAAATCTGCTGAAAAACCTATGTTAACCTCTAAAATTAAAAAAATACATAATTATATATCTATATCACAGCATTTCACGCACAAGTTTTCCTGTCCACCAAAATAGTGATTTTACTGTTGCCTCCAATAGCAACAGCGGCAGTCAGCCTAACTGTGCAGTCTATAATTTCTGCCCTAATGGCGTGGCCATAATTTGGCTTGTACCCACAATGATAATTAAACATGAAGGTTAAAGCCAAAACAGCCTAACACCTACATGAAAGCCTTATATTAGGCCCCACTTTTTGCATGTAAAAATACCTACCTCTTCCTTCCCCTGAAAATATTGTAACTTATTAAATTCTTTGCATAGTAACTTTTAACATATTACTTAACATATTATGTCAGATTTTAGCCATTAACATTTGGCATTTGTTCATACGGTAAAAAGCAGTCACAGAAAGTAACAAAATGCTTATTTTTTCCTTATATGATGGTGATTGTATGGTGATTGATTGTTGTGCACCAACAAAATTTAGTTCATATAACACTAAAACATCAAGGATGATTTTGGCTAACCTCGTGTGTTACAAACTTAAAACAACACCAGTGGTCAAAACCACGTTATCTGCTGGAGCTAAAAGATGCATAGACTCCAGTTATTCGAACCAATTTAGTCGCCTCTTAAACACACATATGGATAAAGTGGCTGCAATTCTGATGCCTTCACCCTGAAAGGCAACCGCTTAGCCACAAGGGAACCATGCTTATGTCCAGCAGGCAGCTTATGACTATTTCCTTGACTGCAGAATCATAATCAGTCACGTAAATTACATACCTGACATAGATAGGCTACTTTAGAGCTTCATGTATAAAAATCCAACAATATAAACAGACTCTTTCACTAGCTGTGCTAATTTTTTTTATTTTAATGCAAAAAAAAATAAAATAGTATCATATACTACAACTTCCGAACATTCAAGTCAATTAAATTATTCTGGTTTTGTTATATAATATATCGATAAAAAAATTATTTATGCCATGTTTTTCCCTATACCAACCTCTTTCGCTGGCATCGTCGACTAGAATAATCTCGTTTAGTAAAGCTGGTGGAGATCTATTTATAACACTGTGAACGGTACGTAGTAACGTGGACCATGCCTCGTTGTGAAATACTATAACAACACTAGTGTCAGGCAACACTGAAACTGGTGGGTACTTTTTATTTCTACATCTGAAAAAAAGACAAAAACTGATTTTAGTATGTTTTCCTTTCAAATACTAGCATTACGTACAGTGCATTTTTATAGATCTGTTTAAAGTTTATAGTCACATAATTATATATTCATCAACATAATAATAATGATCTTTAGATTTTTGATAAAGGTAGTAGTACTTTATAATAATTATGCAAAAACTGCATTCATTGACAACTTTAATTTTATTCTATCTATAATAGCAATAAAGAGAAATGTTAAAAGTTTCTTTCTTTCTTTTTTTTCTTTTTGTTACCATTACACCAACACAGAAGAGGTCGCATGCCGCATTTCCAGTGTGACCAGTGGAGAAGACCTAATGTGTCCCTCTGTGCATTATTTCAGGCAAGAACGGGCACCAGAGTAGAACCATCAACATTCAGTAAATTATTTTAGGCAAGAACGGGCACCAGAGTAGAACCATCAACATTCAGTAAGCTACCTGGATAGCCTCTTCACATGAAAGAATCAAAAGTCTCTGGCAAGATTTGAACCCACAGTGGTGAGGGGCAATTGGGTTGAAATAAATGACCTCATCTACATGACCAGAGACACCACTCAACTGCCCTATTGTTTACGTTTTCTTTTACCTTAAATTTGCGGGTTTTTTCTTTTTCATGAAATGGAAACTTCACTAAGTTGCAATTCAGTTTAAATGGTCCGGTCTGTAGGTTTGTCAGCAGACATACATTGTGATAAATAACTTATCATAAGCCTCACATAAGCTGAGCATATTTTATCATAAGTTGGGCATTTATTATCATTAAGTTAAGTGTATTTTAACATAAATTATGCATATTCTAACAACTATACCCTGGTATTCTGTAATCAGGAAGAGATCTATTCAATGACATCAGATCACTGGCAACAAGGTTAAATTGGTGGATTTTAAATTTCTCCTTTGATTCCCCCTCCATGTTTGCAGGTATAACCACTGCCTTCCCCATGTCACCCGGCATGCTCGGCCGACCTAATAAACCTGTAAATATAAATTAACATGTTGTTAACTTTAAATTATTATTCATTAATTATCTATGATAGTAACACACAACATAGTTCTGACACTAATATTGTAAGAGGTAAGCCAGGCTGCACAGCCATTCAGTTAAACTAGATTCTCGATCTTAAGTAATAAATGATCCCTAAAATTCAAATTATCAATAGAAATTTCAAAGATCAAAAGCAAGCCAAATAAATTTAATTTAGCAAATTTAGATGGGAAAATACTAATAAGATTAAGTATGTTAACATATAAACAGTTCTATTTACGTTAAGAAAGACATTTCAACAGAAAAAGGTTAAATAATGCTAATAATTAAAAGCATAATAAAGTTTATGAATTTTAAATACATATTGTAAAACTGTAATGAAATAATTATAATGTTAAATTTAACATGGAGATTTGTCATTTTAAACAAGAGGCTTTCCCTCAATTTAATATTTCTAATGCATCATAATTTATTACAATTTTGACACAGTGTCTACCACTCTCTTGCCATATTATGATCAAAATTAGAGGTTATATAATTTGTAACATGTAAAATATGAATCTGAAAAATAAAATGCTGAATGAAATAACATCACCAAATATTGTTTGATTTCAACAAAATTAATACAAAAATAAATTACATTGACTATTCATTAAATATTTTCTGTAAACCATACATTTAAGCTTCTTAAAGTGTCTGCATTTTAAGTTGTGAATGGACAATTTAAGCTGAAAAAAAAAAACAACATCTAGGCTGAATAGATTCAATACCATTTAATTGCAATAAAATGTAAATAAATAAGAATTACAGGCACTAACATTTCAACTAAAATACAATCAATGTTCACAAACTCATAGTTTAGATCTCCATAAAATGTAAATCAAAGACAGCTTTAAATCTTAAAAGCCTATCTAAAATCAAATAAAATATTTATCAATTGATTTGGATTTTGTGTGAAATATGGCTTAAATTCATTGCTGTTTTACTGATCAATCTTTTTTAAACAACTCAAAGTTTTAACATCATATATATAAAACACTCTTTTTAAGCCTGTCCCACTGGTTCTTGAACAATTGTCTTTCAGGGGCTTTTTATCCCCTTCTTTAGCAGGGGCCATTTATTAGAGCTTACAGGGAAAATGATCAAATAGTACACAAATCTCGGAAAAAATTATTTTCAGACTTGCTATGTCAAAAAATCTCAGCAGTGTCACTCTAAATATTAATGAAATGATAAATTAAATAGATAGGAAGGCTCTTGTTTTGAAATGCATGTCAGCTGTCTTGACCTTTTTAATAGCTTAAAGCCTTTTATCCTTTTGTCAATTTAAATACATTGTATACTTATACACAAGATTTAAGCTAAAATTCAAATATTTTTATTTTCTTTTTAAAATTCTTTTCTTTGTCACAAAAATAAATATTGAACTTCTTTAACAACTTTATAAGCATTAAAATATATCAATGTAGGAGACATCTGTCTTTCAATTTCATCTGCAAATTTTGCACTAAATTTTTTTTCTCAAAATTACCCACAATGCAATACACCACCCACAACATATTGGGTCATATACTATAGATAATGATCACCATTCCAAATACAATTATATACATGTCATCATTAAATCACATCCCCCTGGCTATATGTAAATAACTCGCCAAGTATAGATAATTACTAAAAATGATAAATTGTCTTACCCCACCCACTGATCAAATTCACTGACCTGAGGTAACCCATAAAATGATATAAAATCTTCCATCAAGCTATTTAGTGTAATAATAGTAATTTACTTTTGTTTATAGGGTCATATACTAGTAAATAAGTGCTATTACAGATAGCAATGGTTTTGATATAGCTTGATGTAGCATTTTTTCTGCCAATAGATTAATTTAACAGCTTTGAAACTTAGATTGTATGATTATTTTGACTAATTTTAAATAGAAAATATTACAGTCCCCCAAAACATAAATGCTATTTCAACTTTGAAACAGTTTTTGAAGCATTATTATCTTATAAAGTATCAGATCCATACACCAACATGGTTATATTTTCAACAATTCAATATGATATCTGTTGTAAAGCGTCATATCTGAAGGACGACCTGAACATTTTCTTTTTATTGAGTGATTATTACCTTTAAGTAACCTTTAAAACTTTATAATCTACACAAATTTCTAAATTAAACAAACATTTTCAAGCCCTATTCTGAGACACTTCACTAAATTTACACAACACCTTTATTTAAGTTTTAACTTTAACTGTACTAAACAAACAAAAATAGCTGCTTAATTTACATATATTTTACGAGTTATGTAATTATTCATTTAACTTTTATAAGGAAGATTATGATGCGTCCATTAATCTTTTATTTCAACAGGGATATATCTAGATTATAATGTGCTCCTATAATAATGTTGTTTAAATGTCATAATCAAAATGTCTTAATCCATTTATAATTGATGTTCTTAACCAATATCATTAAAATCATATCCTAACTGAGCAATTTGTTTCTTTAATGGTTTTATGGCACACCAACACAATTTAGGTCATATGGCACTGAACCAGGAAAGATGCTTAATTGCTTACTATTTAGGTCATTTGGCTTCAAAATACAAAAGATGATTTTGGCTAACCTTAGGTGTTACAAACTTAAAGCAACACCAGGGGTCAAAAACACCTCACCTGCTGGAGCTTAGGCTTAGAGAAAGGCATAAACTCTCGTAATTAGTCATCTCTTACATCAAGAAGGGTTATTCTGATGCCACAGCTGGGTAATTCTGATGCCTCAGCCCTTAAAGGCAACCCCTCAGCCACAAAGTAAATTGTAACATGGTAAAATGAAGATCTGATTTTGATGAAAAACCTAAAAGCCTGTCAGGATTCAAACCCAAAGCAGCAATCAGCAAGTAGTTATAAGTCTGAACTTTCACTATTCCAATTACTGAGAACCAATTAACTGTACTGAGGTTATTTATACACAGCACAGGTTGCCTATATGTGTGAGTCCTCCAGTAAAGTATTAGTCATTTTAGATTTTTTGAGGATAGTGCAAGACACAGATACAGACTGATTAGCAATTTTAGTATCCTAGCAGGGGAATCAAACCCACAATGTTGAGATTACAAGTCTCGCACTCTGTCTGAGTTATATGGGCAAGCATCTGACCAATTATGATCAACATACAGATTGATGTAATGTTCCAGTTGTGAAAGGTGTGACATACATTTAAGTGTCCGGCCACTGGTCATTAACTTGTTAATGTATTGACAGGTAAATATATTTGTGTGTCAAAACTGTCAGCCAGGCATTATTTATTGCTTTTCATTAAGGTGGACACAATTATGTATTGTATTTAATAGCAGAAAAAAATGTAAAAAAAACAAAACAATAATAACATAATAAAAAATAATGTTTTTGGGTGTTTTTTTTTAATAATGAAAAAGCAAAGTTAACAAAACATATTTTAAGGGAAAAATATTTCTTTACAGTGCATTAATTTAGTCTACTTTTTTTAATTCTTTATAAACTACTTTGTTCTAGTAACCTTAATCGTCAACCATTTTTTAAAGCTTAAAACAAAATTAACATAGATATTAACAATTTTGACTGCTGACAAGTACAAAATATACTGGATGTAATCAGTGCACCACATACTTGTTGTCTCATCATGGTCTGCACTGTTTGGTTTTTCTGTCAGTACATTGAATTGTTTCCCTTAAAAATTAGGAATGTCCGTGTTCAGATTTAAAGATGGACCAGTCCATTTTAGATATTAAGCAGGATGTAAGGAATTAACAAATTAGATCATCAAGCTGTGACATTAAACTACCACAGGATAGCTTCCTGACATGAAAAAGTCTGCTACAAGAGTCGTGCCCAGTGAGATAAAAGGTACAAGTGATTTTGTCTCAGTTAACTTAGCCATCAGGCCACTGTGGCCCCTTACATACAATTATGTATGTTTTAAGTCAATATTATTCAATATTATGTACATATAAAAATAATACTCCAGAGTTAAAAGTAAAATATTTGTTTTCTCTACACAAGTAAAATATCCCTTAGGGCAGGCCGTAAATATACATCAAAGCTTACACCTTGTTTGTCAAAAACAACAATTAAACAATAATCATAACCATGGAAAAGAAAAAACACCTTCCTACTGCAATTAATTAAGACATTCAAGTCTTATTTAGTAATATTTACACAAATTTTAACCTGAATGTATATTCAAACGACCACATAATCATCACATAGTCTAAATATAATAAAAATAGCCTGTCCTATCAACAGTTTTATCATTGACCTTAAAACCCATGTTTTTGACATCTTTTTTGCTATTTTTGGAAAGTTGCATTTTAATAAATTACAATGAAAAATTACAATGTTAAAACATGTAAAAGTTAACATTTTGTTTAAGTTGACATTCACAAAATTTAATTTACTCTATGTTTTTTTGTAAAAAAAAATAAGTCCTGTACTTTTGTAGAAATTGTATTAACTGTTAAATATTGTATTAACTGTTAATTTATGAATATCCTTTCAGGACTATTATTTAAATGAACATGTTTATGTTTAAAGTGCTACCAGTAGAGAGTCAAATTAAGACTTTTATTCAGTGCAGCGACACAATAGACACTGTACTAATTAGATTTTTCTGTTTGAGTAAATGTTGATGCATAAAGCAGCATGCCGCCAGCTGAGCCTAAATATTTCAAGAAACTCATACTTAAAATGTTCCAAGATATTAGGAAAAGAAAAACGATTCAATATTTAAGTAATAATGTACAAGTAATGTGCAATTAATGACTGAAATTGCAGTATTTATTACCATACTTTACTGTGTGACTATAATGCAGTAAGGGCTATTAATGCATGTTTTGACCTCTTTTTGGTTATTTAAGTGGATTGTAAATACCATATTGCAATGTGCAAATTTTAACTTTCTTTGTTCTTTTTTCCTTTTAAATACAAATTTCAAAATTTTCATGGA